AGGTTCTCCTTGAGTTCTCCTAGCTACCTAACCTCCTGGACAATTTGGATTTATTTTCTTTTTAAAAAGTGCTTGAAGTCGGTGCAGAAATAGCTTGGATCTCATAGTTCTGGAAAGAAGCAAGAGATGGGATACCCCATTCTTCCCCCCCATGAGTTCCTAGCTAGTCTGTTTCCCGCCCGTCCACCCATCCACTCACCCACACAAAGTTTCTGACTAGCAAGATGCTGCCCCATTACCAGTGTGTGATTGGGAAGGAATAAAGCCCTCCCTGACAGCTGAAAGCTGCTCTGCTCAACCCCCTGATCTGCAGAACCACCACCCAACCCATCATCAAGAGACACCGCCACTTTTGGGAACAGACCTGAATTGGACATGGGACCATGTTGCCTTACCGAGGCCTGAACCAAACCCCACTGAGGTCCATGGTTCCGTTTGCTCCAACTGGCCCTGTCTCAGTCTGTCCATGTGGTGATAGGCCCGCTGCTATCTCCAGGCTAGCCAAGGGAGGAGCGATGGGCTGTCTAGCTGACAGGTTGTCATTAAAGAACCAGGCATCAGACCTTCTCTCTGCCATGGGAATCTGGGAAAGGGGTCTGCTGCTCCCTTCTCCATCCCCTCACGTGGGAGGGGCGGGGAGGGCAAGAATAAATGGAAGAAAAGGGATGGGGAGGAAATGGGGGAAGAGACTGAGTGTCCCAAAAATCCTATAGTCAGCCCTGCTGACTTGGAAAATTCCTCATGACACTGGGTAGACACTTTCTGGACAGGACCAGAACACCCCCCACTTCACCCCCGCCCCCCGCCCATGTTCTACCAGGCTGCTCCAGAAGTGAGAGTTGCTCCCAGGGATACTTTGTATCTGGTAAAAGTCGTACAAATCCTAGAAGTGTGGGGACTGTGCTCTTCTCCCGTCCCATGGGCCTGGCTCCTGGGCTGGCTTGGGGATTATGGGAATGAGAACCAGAGCAGGGGCCAGCCCCACCGCCTGACTGAGCTCACACATAATGCTGGCAACCTTCCCAGGGCAGCAGAGTGTCACAATCACAGTCAACATAGCTGTTGTCAGCACCCGATGGTAACCATCACTGGGGGCTGTAACATGAGAGGGGAATTTGCTGCCATCACAGGGGCGAAGGACTGGCTGATTGTCCTGCCTGGCCCCAGCAGATAATTCTGTGCCACCTCTGCTCCACCAGGTCCCAACTTTCCTATGCTTCCCTCAGGATGGGCAGGCATAGCCAGAGGCTGCAACTCAGAAGTCCATTTGAGAAATTTTTAGCTGCTCTAGCCTCCCCCAAAAGGAGCGCTGAGAAGACTCCTGGGCCAAGCTCATCCCTGGTGAAACTCTATTGATTCTGAGAATGCTACCAGTGAGAAATTTGGTCTATTGGGAGATTAAGGACTGAGACCCTCAGTGGGGGCTTTAGCTTTTCCTATGCAGGGGCCTCAAGGCTCCCTCAGCTGGTGGGGCTTCTAACTAGTTTAAAACAGGGAGGAGATCTTGGCACGAACGCACCGCAGAGACCGATGGTGATTTTGAGGAGGCGTTCAGAACAGAGGATAAAGCTCCTTCTCAGCCTTCCCATCGGGGTCAGGGAGAAAGCTGGGCAGGGAACGTTTTTCCCGTTCAGTTTTTAAGATTTAAAAAAAATTTCTGGTCTGCACTGGGACAAAACTGAGAGCTTTCAGAGCTTCTCAAAAAAAAAAAAAAAAAGAGAGCCCCACCCCCAGAATACGCCGTAGCCCCATGGCAAGGACACTCAGCTGGGCTATGGGAGATCCAGGGTCAAGTTCATGTGTATCCTAGCCATGGAGGTTATGAGGAATTCTGGGATCTCTGTCTGGTTTTGACCAGAAATTATATCCTGGATCTGAGGAACCTTCCCGCCAAAAGTTTAATCAGAACCGGTATTTTCCCGCCAAAAGTTTCAATTTTGATGAGTCAACATTTTCTGACGAAAAACCATCTAGATAGATAATTCCCAACCAGTTCCAATCAGGGAAGGGCTGCCCTTCTGCTCCCACACTCAAGTGCTGCCACATCTCAAGAACCACATCCCTTCAGTGAAGAGAGCGTGCCACAGAAAACGGACTTGGACAAACAGTAGAGGAAATAGCATCAATAGATTTTCTCGCTCTCTCTCACATACACACACTGCTTTGGGTTTTTGTTTTTTTAAGAAAAAAAAATAACATTACAAGCTTTAACAGTACATAGCCCTTGGCCGTCTACAAAATCTGTATTTCTCTCACCCAGACCAATTCAGAAGCTTCATACCTCAAAGGTCAGGAAATAGTCAACCCAAGAGGGGAATGGACTCATGGCTGAGGCAGCAGCTAAGCGAGTGTGATATAAGAACGCTGTCATTAACACAAACACACACACACACACAGACACACTCTATCTCACTTCACATTTCCAGTGAGGATTATCTTTCTGAAGAGCTCTGACCCAAGAGAATTCCCCCCTGAGAGACCATTCCTACAGGTGGGCATACCAGTCCAGTCCGGTCTGTGTCCAAGGTTACATTGCAAGGAGGTGAGAAAGCCGTTCAGGTAAATCTCCTAGAAACTGTATGCAAGGGTTGGATAGGCACAGTCTGGCCGTGGAGCTCTCAGGTGGCTACAGCCTACAGTCTCACCAGTAATCAGGAAGTTAGTTTCACAGGAGCCCAGAAATCCAGCTGAAAGTCTGTAAGGTGTCAGGTAGCCAGAGAACAGCTCACCCACTGTCTCAATAATAGAACAGGAGATTTAATCCCATTGGCCACTGAGATTCTAGGGAGACAATCCTGGGTGGACATTTACAGCTCCCGTTCCCTTCAAAATGGGCCCACTTATTGGAACAGCCTCCACAGGAACCAAGCACTCGATCTTTTGTTGTAGCTTCAAATGCAGAGCACAACTCAGGCATCCAACACTCCTTTCCAGTGCCGAACCCAGAGTGCCCCTCCGGCATCCAGCCAGCATGATGCCTGCTTAGCTCACCTTTAGCTAAAAGAGGAATGTAGTCACTTAGCAGGTTGAGATGCAGCTGATGAGAACAGGAGACTTCTTCCTTTCTTTCTCTGCAGTAGAGGCTTCCTATAAAGACACTGACTGAGCCTTGTGCAGGGATATAATGAGCTAACCAGGAGACTTGCTTGCATTCAGGATGAAGTTTGGAAATATTTCAGGGGAGGCTGCCATGGAGAGTCCCAAAGCTGAAGCCATATTTGTATCCCAAGGCCGCTCCTCATCTTCCTCTCCTCCCAACCAACAGCAGCCCAGGAGAAGAGCTCCTCTTTGGACGTGGAAGCTGGTTTGGCACCATTTGCTGAGGATCAGGCTGCATCTATGGAAGGACTGGGTCCAGAGCCCACAACTCCTCTCTTCCCATTTGGCTTCTCCCCACAGACGAACATATGGCAGCATTTGAACGGATGGAAGAAAATGAAAGGGAAGGAAAGAGAACTTGCGAAACAAACCCAAACGCTTACCAAAAAAACCGCCATAAATTGTGTAAAATCTGTCATGAATAGCAAGCAGCAAACATTGGAATGGCAGGTCAAATGTGACCCCAAAGAGTCAATAATAAAAAGAGTCAAATGCTGCATTTCCATGGGAAGCCTAGCATGAATTTGACCCATATGTACATGAAAGTGGACTTCATATGCCATGTTGCTATGAGACATGTTGCTGGTGCATATGGTAGGAGCTCTCATCCCTGTCTTCAATGACTGGGGGGAGGGGAGAGAAGCAAAGGAAAAGGTCAATTCCTTTAAGGAATTGCAGACCTTGGGAATGCAAGTATTTCTAACCTGACAGAGCGCGGATTGGGGACTGTGGTCCCTCTGCCCAGCCTACACCTCTTCTGATTGGTCCTTCAGGAAGCTTTTATGTGGCTGGAGTAAAGGCAATTGGTCACACACCATCACACACCCTGCACTGACCTTTTCTTAGACAATCCCAAGAGACTGTCTAGTTAATAACCAGCAGGTGATTGTCATTTGAAAAAGCAGTTTCCAAGTCTTGTCCCAGGGGGACGTGTGTCAAGTAGTTAAGGACAAAAATTTGGCCCACCTTGACTTTCTTACAGTTTGATGGCAAAGGGCTGCTGAGATCTGAAAATAAAAACCTCACCACTGAGACAGAAAGGAAAAGGCCACTCTGACTCTGCAAAGGATGTCTGTGCCACCTACCCAGCAGAGGGGGCACAACTTAATTGACTAACCTTATTCCCAGAGCTGTGCTGACGTGGCTGGTATATTTATACTTAGACTGTAAGATCTTTGGGGCAGGGACTGTTGTGTTCTGTGTCTGTACAGCACCTAGCACAGTGGGGTCCTGGTCCATGACTTGGGCTCCTAGCTGCTACTGCAACACAAATAATAAACAGTAATAAAACACTGACCCCCACACCCCAGCAGCAAAGAGATCTGCAGCATAAATAGCACTATGGGCTCTTTCCCCATGAGAAACAGAAGGAAATGGAAGAAAATTCAAGTTGGCCTCATGGCGAAGGTGAACCAGGGCAGGGGCAAAGCAAAGTTACTTCCCAGCTTCAAAGGGAGAGTCACAAAAACTGGAGAGAAAACAAATGGAATGTTATCAAAAGCTACTTGAGAATGTCCCTTTGAAAGAGCGTTAAATACCTGCCCCAGCACAGTGAAATATGCTGGGAAAATCCTCTTCAATTGCTAAGAAAAGGGAAAATGAGTCATCCCTCTAAACGATCGTGTGTGTGCTCACGTATGTGAGAGAAGGGGTGTGTGGAGGCAGCTTATTTCTTATGAGATCACCAAAATTTCTGATCTTGGTTTCTTGAGCAGCAACACTATCACTCAACCCCCACACCTTCTCCCCAGTACCGCATCGGTCCTGAAACACACACACACACACACACACACACACACACACACACACACACACA